ATAGGGAACAGCTACAAAATGAGTAGGAGGCAGCAGCAGGGAGTACTGTTTAGGTGGAATTAACCACAAGGTTTTCAGTCAGACACATTGAGCTGATAGTCACTGTATGACTCCTGCTTCACAGGTTTTCATGTGAGGATATTTTTGCATAGGGATATTAACATGCATTCAGAGGGCTATTGAATGTGATGTTATTTAACATTTGCAAACAGAACCATGGGTATGTGGGTGATTGCACAGGGCTTACTGAAGTGCATAGTGGGATAATTGTCCATGTGTGGTTATTTACTGCATAGGACTGGCAAAGCAGTTACATGCCAGATAGAGACAAGCAGACTTTCTCCAACTGTGCGGATCTGATATCTAACAACAGAGTCTGAGAATCAGCGACAATGATCACTTGGGAAACTGAGGTGCTATCCCTCTGTCTTTTCTCTGCAGCCATTGCTGTCTAAACATTGGAACTAAATTGTTTCAGTGATGCACTTTTAAACAGTGTTCACCATTCTGAATGCCGTGGCGACCACCCAGAGTTCATCATCTGGTTTAAATTTACCTCATGAAAGTCAAAGGGCCTTTGCCAGAGGAGCTTAACAGACCTGCTCTGCAGTTTTCTGGCACCTACTAACTGTTATGGGTTATAGGGAATTATTCACGCTGTATGACATTTATTATATGGACTTCTTAAAATGCTTTGATTACAGTATTGTGTTATTACAGCATCACATTTACAGTGCTGCAAGGGATGGGTTCTTGGAGCTCTTTCTAAAACCCCCTTTTCTAGCTGGAAATCAAATGTCTTTGCACAGAGTGAAGTATTGTTTGGAAGCAAAATAACGTGGAGGATTTCTCCCCCAAAGACCTTTTTCTGGTTGGCTGATATTTGTAACCCCCGTGCTCCCAAATATAGGATGTACAGCACTCAGGCTAGCATGGCTTGCCCCTTGAAATAGATACCATCTCTTTCAAAATGACTCTGGAGAGGGCTAAATTGTAGTTTATTATCAGATGTGGTTTGAGCTGTGACAAGGAACTAGAGTTGTCAACATTGTATTTCAAAAATAAGGGTCTGTTTTCTTAGTATCCCTTTCTTACCCCTCCTGATATTTATTAATTATTAATAATGAACAGTACTCACCTACATTCATTTCTTGCTGCTTTTTGCAGTGCTCAGCAACTCCTGATCTTCTTGTACAGAGATGAAAAAATAAGGGACTGTTGGCAACCCTACTAGGAACTGAAGTTTATAGGTAGCAATAAACTATTGGGTAACTAACAATCTGCTCCATGAGATCATATCAATCAATACTCTGTATTGGTTCCACAATTCAAATGGGCCCTTCTTCCTTTCCTTCTCCCACCTCTCCCCACTAGATAAGGTGATACCATACATTTGCCATGCACATGCTGCCTTGAAGCTCACCTTCCATTTTATTCTTACATGCAAACGGGTTCTTGTGCTAGCTGCTATCACAGACATGACTCCTAGGTTTATATTATGCAAATAAAGATTGTTGTGTTTTAATTAAACAAAACAAAGGGACACATTCAGCTCAGACATCACTCCTGATGCCTAACCTTCCCTGCCATTAAATCACATGCCCCCTAGAGATTCAGCAAGAATTGCAATTTATTGTTTAATAAGCATTCCCTCAGGAATGCGTTTCAGCTGTGCCCCAGCCTAGCCTTCCACTTGTGGGGGCAAATCAGGTATCTGTCCTACAACTCCTATTCGTACCCACAATTGATGGTAGGTGCAGAAAAATATGGGTGCAGTTTTACAGGCACAAATTGTACTTTCTGGGTCTTAGAAATTGTTATTCTTTGTCTGTAACCATAGCAGTAATGTTTATATGTGCTGTCTGTGTACATTAACAGATTTAACACTCACTCATTTCTGCTAAGGTAATGATCCAGCTATTCTGGTCTCTCTGTAACTAAAGTAGAAGTCTATGAAGATCAAAGTATGTTCCACACATTTTAGGGCCTGATCCTTCAATCTTTAGTCATGGACATCTACTCGTGAGAAAGATTTGCAGGGCTGGGTCCTTAGATTATATTTTCACCTTCTCCCAGTTGAAGGAATTGATGGTTTTGCTTCTCTGCCTTCTGAATCCAGCTGCATTGCAGCTTGCCTGGGCGTAACTGTTACAATGAGTTATTATAGTTTCATACAGTTACGGAAACTGAACGACTCAGTAAAAAGAAACCCATTTTACATGTCCGTGTTACGCCTTTTACTGAGTGTTTGCGATAGCTGCCAACTGCATTGCTCCTTTGTATGGCATCAATGCTATATTTTGTGTGAACGGAAAAGTCATTAGAAATCACGTTGATGGGAAACCTGCAGTAACTGGGAGCCCTAACTTTTCAATACCTCTTTTAATCCAGAAGAAGCAGACCTTGATGAGTTGTGTGAGCATGTGTATTTATAAATTATATATTTTGGTTGCTTCACCCACAAATGAAATTACAGCCTTTTTTGGGGTTGAGGAATGTACTGCCCAGGTACAGCAGCACCAACATTACACAACAGTTGAGAAGAGGGAGTGAAAAAAATGTGGCCACTTGAAATTCACCAGGGAACTTAGGTCAGCCAGGGGGTTAATTACCCAAGGCAGAATGTAGCCAGTTACTTAAGTCATATACCACCTGCCCAGTGCTGAGGGGCTCATGAAAATCTACTGTAATACAATATTAACCTGTTTCCTTGAGCAGTGGAGGGAGGAACTGATCTAGTGAATTAGGCCAGATTCTCCACTGCCCTGCATCTCTGGCAGTTATTTATAGCAGTTCAAAATGTGTATAAAAGGCAGCTAAATCAGAATGGTAATGGTTTACTTCCTCCTTTGCACTGCTGTAAATGATTGCATAAGGTGCAGGGCAATGGAGAATTTGGCCCAATCTGTCTAACTGGTCAATGCCTAATTTCTCCATAGCCAGAGGTCCCAATATTGTATGTGAATTAACCTGTGCTGTGTTATGCAGAAGGTCAGGCCAGATGATTGTAATGGTCAATTCTGTCCTTAAAATCTATGAATCTATGACCTCCAAAACACTCTCAAATCCGCAAACATTGCCTACTGGGATCCCCAAGCCGCCAAGTCAATGCAATTTGTATATCTGGTCAGGCACACTCACTCATTCTCCTCTGGGACCTTCACAGTTAAAGGGTTTTGCAAACACATGCCAATGCTGGAATAGGGAAGAAAAACAAAACCACTCCCAGGCTGTTTAAGCTGAGTGCTGATAAAGACAGAAGAGGTATGAATAATTTTTCAATTATATAAAGTTTGAATACGATGGACATTTTTTATGATTGAAATTTCCACTAGCACACACCTTTGCTTGACACCCTATTCTGTACATGCACGGACATGAAAAACTCAAGACAAATTAAATGGATATATGATTATTACCTGTCAAGGAAATTCCATACAATTAACCACATCACTACATAAAGTAGTGAAACTCTATAGCTATGAAAGTCCAGTTCATGTACTGGGCAACACAGTACTCTCAGAACCTTACACTTTAACTTGTGCCAAGTTTATTCCTGTTTAGATTTGTAGGAATCATGTGTACTTCAACATGCTCTGGGCTTGAGTCCCCTCTTGTTTATACTCATGTAACTTCATTAACTTCAGTCGAGTCACTCCTGATTTACCTCAGCATGAGTAAGAAGGAAGTTAGACTCAAATCTGGGCCAGATTCTGTGATAATCTAAATTCATTCAATATAGCTATGCTGCTGTAAATCAGGAGTAACTCTTTACACCAATGGAGTTATAGCCATTTACAGTAGGTGGACCAGATTTGGACCTGACTCTCCTCTCATCCATGCTAGTGTAGATGAGGAGTAATGCCATTCAAGTCAATGAAGTAACACAACTGTATAATTGGTGTAAATGAGAGTGGGGGTCAGGCTCAATGCCTGTTGATATGGACCTGAATGCTGCGAATTTAAACAGGCACAAAAAAACTCAGCACATTAGGGTTGTGGTATTTCTACCAGCTGAGGCTTGGTGTCTATTTACAAATACAGAGAATATAAATGTGTGTCACACTACTGGATGGTTAATTGTATGCAGTATATTTTATCTTTGAAATTACCACTACAATTAAAATCCAAAGAAATCTTTTGTACATTTCCCACAGAAATAAACCAATGCTCTGAAACCAAGAAATAATTCTAAATCTGAACTACCAATGGGCTAATAATACATAACAGTAGGTGCACCACATGTGTGGGTATGTGCAGATGTGTACTGGTGTCTCTGTGTTTAGATCTGCACCTGCTCCCTCTCTGTGTGTGTGTGTGTGTGTGTGTATTCGGTGAGTGTTAGCTCCAAATCCCAGCGTGTGGCACAGTTAGACGCTGCACTCTGTAGCGTTTTGTACGAGACAAGGGGAAACAAACCCCAGCTTCTTTAGGCAGCAGCGGTGAGCGTTTTCAAGGAGCGCCCGATGGGCACCCAGTGCAGTTCCCTCTTCTCTCCAGCCTCTGTCCGTCTTTCAGGTGCCGCCGGACTCCTTGTTGTTTTTGTGGCTACAGACTAACAGGGCTACCCCCTGGTACTTGTCTCCAGCCTCTGACGCTCACTCTCCCGCTCCCAGCCTTTTCGCTGTCACGTCCATGTGGACTCTGGCTTCACCCCCAGCTCTGCGAGCGGGCAGGTGCGCGGCTGGGTCCGGGCAGCTATTTCTAGCCACGCTCTGTCTCCGACGGCGCCCGGCCACGCTGGAAAGCCGCTGATGAGCCCCGGCTCCAGCAGCCCGATGCCCGGGTGGGTGTGACCTGGCCGGCTGGCCCCCCGCCCTGTGCCAGCCCCTCTCTCCGCAGCAGCCCCGCTTGCTGCAGTGTCGAAGGGGGAGGGGTCGGCTCCTTCCCCCGGGCCCCGCGCCCGCGATGCCGGATTAAATGCGGCTGACGCTGCCCCAGCCCCTCTCAGTCCAGCACAGGCCAGCGGCTGGAGCGGGGTCCCCGGGCGCAGCACCCACCTGTACCAGCAGCACGGGGGTGTCCTCCGCCCGCCTTCCGCTCGGCTCCGCAGCCGCCCCTCCGCGCTCTCCAGCCGGCCGAGGTGAGTGAGGGGCTCCGGGGGCAGCAGGGCACCTGCAGGGCAATGCGCAGCGGTGGGCGCAGGGGTGACAGCTCCGCAACCAACCGGCTGGGCGGCGGGTCACCCCGTGGCTTTCGCTCTGTGCCCCAGCGGAGGGGGGGGGGGCTCCCCACCCAGTGCCCCCCCCCCGCCAGCCAGAGGGAAATGATCCTAAAACCCCTGCGGCTCTCCAACCCAGGGCCCCTTGAATGATCCTGAATCCCCTAGGAGCTCCCCACCCCAATGCCCCTTGCCAGCCAGAGGGGAATGATCTTGACTTCCCTAGGGACTCCCTCCCGCAGTGGCCTTTGCCAGCCAGAGGGGATCAATCCTGCTACCGGCTCCCTGTGCCCAAAGTTCCCCACACCTTTGGCCCCTTCCAGTGTGGAACCCTCCTTGCCCCCTAGGAGCTGCCCACTCCAAGTGGCCCTGCCTCCTGCTCCAGCCAGAAGGGAACAACTAGACTGTAAGTTCTTTGGGGCAGCAACTGTCTTTTCGTTCTGTGTTTGTACAGCACCTAGCACAAAGGGGGTCCTGGTCCATGTCTGGGACTCGCAGGTGCTACCACAAGGGTTCTCAATCCAGCATGTTCCCTACTACCCCACTTCCCACCTCCCTGCTTGTCAGGGTACACGAGCTGTCCATGTCTTTGCCCTGTTGGTAGGTGTTGGATGTAATGGACTGGTCTAAGAACCAGGCCGGACACAGAGAGGATGGTGTGATGATGAGTTGTTTGTATGGCACCAGCCGCATAGTGGGCACTTGTACATGGTGTTCATGGTGTCAGGGGAATGGTATGGGGGAGGGAATAGAGGTGTATGTCTTAGGAAGAAAAGTTGCTTTTAGCTCCGTCCTCTCCACTCCCCCACGTGTGCCTGCAAAATGTAGGAGCTGCTGTCTGCCTGATCAGAGACCCTAGCCGTTGCAACCTTTCTGCTCAGTCTGACACCCAGGAAAGCTGGGGAGTTTATAAAGAGTTAGTCCAAGTTAATTCTCAGGGGAGCTGAGCCCCAAAATGATGCTTGGAGGAGCAGAAGCCCTCGGGAGCCAAGACATGGCATGGTACTCAGAGGGAGTGGGAGCTCACAGGGGCTGAGACTTGGCATGCCACTGGGAGGGTGCAGGAGCCCACGGGAGCCAAGCTCAAGCAGAGGCTTATAGGAAGTTGGAGCTCCCAGGAGCAAAGACCTGACATGGTGTTCAGAGGTAGCAGGAGCTCATGGGATCTGAGATCTAACACCATGGTCAAAAGGAGCAGGAGCTCCCAAGGGACAGGTCTGGAGGCATCACCGAGAAGGGGTGAGAGGTGAGTTCCCAGGAACCAAGTCCTGGCCCCAGAGCTCAGGAGCAGAGTCCCAGCATCTCTCCTGCATTAAAAACTGCTTGAGTGAGAAGAAAGAAATGATGCAAAGATCCAAAGAATGAAGTACCCAGTCAGTGGGAATACAGTGTGAAGGAAAACCAGAGAGAAGGAAGGAAGGGTCCAATGGGACATGACCTGCACAGATTTTTCCTGTTTCCCCTGAGACCTGGGCATGCCCAGAATCAACTTTCTCCTCTGCCTCCCCACCCTATGCTCTGCACCCAGATTCAGATCTAAACTGCAGCAGTCCAGGGCCCCCTCTTTCCTTCCTGTGTGGAGTGCTCTGCGCTGGGGATGTGGTGCTGGAAATAACGGAGCATGCTCAAAAATCTGTATGTTGCAATTTAAGAATAATGTGGGGGCCCACTCTGTCTCTGAAAAACTTTTCAGCTCTTTTTATATTCATATTGGAGATTATGCTCCAGTAAGCTGTTCCCAGTTGTATGGGTGACTGATCTTACACTGTACATGTTCACCATCAGCCTGTATTAGGAAGTTTCCTGCAGATACTATCCAGAATCTGATTTGACAATGAGGTATACAAACTGATATACATGCCTTGATGTAGCATACCAAGCATTAGAATGTCTGGATTGTCTAACAAGATATGCACATAATTGTGCTCTTAATTTGTTTGCACTGTTACTGCAGTCATAATGCAAACTGGATAATTGCATAGGCAGATGATAATTATTTATATTTGCATAAGCATGCAATCATGATAATTATGCAGGAAAATTAGGCATTCAGTTGTGTGCACATTTCACACAGGCAATTATGCAGCTAACTCGTTTGGAAAATTAGACTGTTATACCTTTGTAATATCTGTACTAACATGCAATAATCTGAACTAAGCCAAATTAAGCAGATGTGGAAGATGAAGTTATTTGCTTTTTCCCATTGTGCAGGATGGAGCAAGGGCAGCATTTGTGATGGTGCAGAGAATCATTGGGGATTCATCAGGAGGCTAGCGTGCAAAGGAACACTGTAAATAAAGCGACATGGGGGAAGAGCTCCTGGGACTAATACAGGTTTACTTGGGCCACAGCTGCCAGGAAATGTATCAGTTTAATATTGAGAATGTAGGGCCTATTCGCACTAAGGAAGCCAGTGGGACTTCTGCCTCATTTGAGCCCCAACTGCACGTGGGCTAAAGTTGTTACACTAAAATTCCCTGCAAAAGCTTCTCCTCACCTTACAGAGGAGCCTTTGATATATTTTGTAATAATAATAAGAATTAATAATAGGCACTGAACATGTAGTTCAGAACTACCGTTACAAATTGAGTTTCAGAAACAGGTCCGAGTGGTTTATTCTGGGATGCCATTAGATTTGCCTTTGACTTGTGCAAAAACCCAGAGCAAAATCCTGCTCGCAGATCTACGTGGTAACTCTCAACTCTGATATTCTTCTCTCAGAGCATGGCTCAGTGAAGTGAATGGATCTTCTGCATCTGGAAGGCATGCAGAAGATCTTGGTATTTTTGGTAAAATGACACTTTGTGTCTAAGCAGCCAGGCCGCTACTGCATTCAGCTGGAAATGTTATTCAAACACTTTCATAAATTCCATGAAAAGGAAGAATTAAAAAACATTTAATCAGATTAGACAGGCTGGATCTTGGGAGTTGCCTTTAAAGATGCTTTTGGAGCTAACTAGGCTGCACTTGCAGGCAGTTTGTGGTCCTAGATGGGGCTAGTGCTCTGATTGCGCCTATCGCGCTATTTCCCTGGAGGTTTGCAGCAGGGGTTGAAGGTTTTCAAGGGAAGTCTTTGCTTAAATCGTTTAAAAGTTTCCAATAGGGGCCCCTTTGTTAGATTTGTGAACAATGAGTCTCCCTTGTTAAAACCTGGAAAAAAATCATAAAATGAAATTTACAAATGTTTGAATGAACAGGGCTGAAACATATGAAGGACGAGGTGCAATGTAGTGCGTGTGTGAGTGAATGACGGCCAGATGCTAGTCTGCGTAATTAAGAGGGAAAAAATGTTTACGAAAATAATTCGGTTGTGTTTTTAGGGAAACTTGTTGGACATCTGCTGTTTCCAGAGAAACTGACTAACCCCTTTATATCAAAAGTCAAACACAAGCATCACCTGGGAATGGTACAGGGCTGAGCTGCCCATTTGACTTGTTGACAGTAATAATTAACTAATGTAATAACTTTATCTCCACCTCTGGCCCATATGGTAGCAGCTGGAACATCTGGGTTCAATCCACTTAATGTGAACTTGCCCAGATTTTAATCATAGCTGGTATAAGGATTTCATTCAGATGTCAGTTACTGAAACCCAGCGTTCACACATCTTTGTTACCTGCTGCTGGGGCTGGAAGAATTGGCCCTCTGTAGATATTTGCAACACAAACATAGCTTTCAGTGTTATGTAACATTTTTAGCGGTTAGAAGCGTTCTTTTCCCTTTCCAGTCTTGGCAAGATAAGGTTCTAAATATAGCCCGGTTAAAACAGGGAATGGTATAGAAATGTGCATAGAATACACTACACAGGCTACATGGGTTTTTTTGTTTGTTTTTTTTGCGGGGGGGGGGCAGGATAAAATTGTAGAGCATCTTGTTTCAGTTTTAACTTTAATAAGTTCACAATAAAATGACAAAATATTGTATTCCATCTCTAAATGCAGTATTGTAGGAGCAGGCAAAAATCATGCTTCTGTTCTTGGGTTTCTATTTCCCTGGGGTCTGGTGAGCCTCTTCTGTCAAGCAGAGGTGTGTGTGATGGGAGAAAATTGCTAAAATGCCCCTATAAGTAGATACATATATGGACCACTCTTTCCACAAGAAATTCAAGCACCTTATAATCTTGAATCCTTTTATCCTCATAATACCTCTCGCAAGATGGAGAAGTGCGATTACTCCAATATACAGATGGTAAACTGAGGCACAGAGATGCTAAGTGACTTGGCCAAGCTCACATGGGAAGTCTGTGGCAGAGCAGGGAATTGAATGCTGCTCTTCCTAGACTCAGGCTACTACTGGGCTGTCACTGGACTACCACAGGACTCTTTCCCCTCTTCAGTGGTGGGATTTTGGTGTGCTTGATGTGCTGTCTAAATCCATTAGTGGAGTACATTGGTCTTTCTTCACCACCCCGAATAAATGTGTAGAATCTATCTATCATATTGTAAGGCACCTCATATCTTAATATCTAAACTCCTTTCTCTTCTTTTGACTTCAGTGACCTATCTTTCAAGGGTATATTCTCTTAAACACTGTACATGATCAGTCTAAAATATCCAAGTCTGTATGTACTTCAGATTCACTATTTAAAAGCATGAGGCCATTTTTCATGTTTTTGCATTTAGAAATAAGGACTTGGAGGAGAAGACTAATTTGCACCTTCAGGAGACTGAAGGCAGGGTGAGGTGTAAGTGCTTGACTGGTGACACAGGAGCTACAGTTCATGGAAGAGTTGCTGTTCCTAACTAAGGATTTTATTTTAAAGGTGGGACGTGGTGGAGCTGCAAGATTGTCCCATTGGGTTGCAGAGAAGCTGGTATCACGGGTGGGAGATAACTGGATCTTTCAGACCCAAACTTTACATACTTCCCTAGATGTTCATGTGAACTGTTTTGTTCAGGTCTGCAGGGTCTCACACCTGGGCATGTGAGGAACCTTGGTCATTTTCCAATGAGCTCCTTAGCAGAAGTCAAGATGCCATTCTGTATGGCAGAAGCATTTCACATAGATTTGCAGGTCCTGATATTTGGAAAGTCTTGGGCTCAAGAGAACCCTTTTCCCAATTGTAAACTAAGAGGAGAGGTTCAAGTTTACCATGGGTTTGCACAAACCAGATAGAGGACTTGTGGTTATATTGGAATAATTATATGAGTTTTCCTGGAGAACCCAGTTTGGTGTCAAAACTCTCTGGAGAACATGAGGAGCAGACTCAGAATATTCCTGGATCTCCAGATGCAGCAGAAAACTTTGCATGCAGCTCTGAGGAGAACTTCGTGAACACAAGCCGAGTTAGCACAAATTACAGCTGGTTCACACATGCAGATCAGACTCAAACCAGGGCTGATTTCAAATGCATCTGAGGTTCAAGTCAAATGCTTCTCAGCAGGGATCTAAATCCTGCTTTGTGGAATTGTAGAGACATCTGCTGAATGTTTCCATTATGTACCTCTGTGGCACATCTACTCTTCAGCTGGGAGTATGCTTCACAGCTTGAGTAGACAAACATGTTCTAGTTAGATGGAGCAGTAATGCAGGCTACAGGAGCCTAGTTTCTAAAGTGCACTAAGCTGTTGCACATAAATTGGTCCATATAGGTCCTGCTGGTGTGCACTCAAGGTTCCCAAGCTCGTTGTTTGAAACAGCACTACATTAAAGTGCTCTGAGTCTAGGGAGCGCTGCAAAGAGATTATTCATTA